TGCCGGCCCTTGGTAGCCTGAGCCGCCAGAGCTGGCCCTCTGCGGGGGCCCTCTCCGCCGTGAAGCGGAACCACGCCACGTTTCGTGGCAATGCGGGCTGCAGTTTTAAACGAGAGTGGGAGGGCATGAGCATCCTGGCCGTCCTTGCTGGTGACCCCTGTTTACGCAGCGGGGAAGATGCTCAGATCCACTGAGTCCTTTTGGGGGACTGGGAGATGGCTTGCAAAAGGCAGTATTTTATAGTTTGCCCTTGCAATGCAAACAGCAGGAAGGTTGAAGAGAAGCTTCCCGGTATTCATAAACAGGATGACAATGACAGTGATTCTGGATAAAAACGCGGATGCAAAGTACGAAAGGAAAACAGACTTGACACCTAAGTTCTTACACTTTCTGCCTAGGCTCTCAAAAGCGTCTTATTTCCCTAAGGCTCCCGACATCCGGAGCAGTGCTCTTCCATTTCACAGAAAGATAAGCAGATGCTGGCGACGCAGCTGGCAAAGGCACCAAGGACAGTGAACTCCTCCTGCCTTCCCACGTGGCCAGCACTTTGCGCACTGCACAGACCTGTTAACTCAGACCAGGGTGTGGATCTCATGTACGTCCAAGGACAGTAGTTGCTGCTCTCATTGCTCTTCTCGGCTCCACACTGACTTTTTCCCAATCCCTGTTTGTACCCGCTGGGGCCAGTGATGCCCCCACACCCCGCAGCACGTAGCCCGGGAACGGCATCTCCTCTGGCTCCCGCTCACGTCGCTGCTCATTGCCTGTGCGAGTTGGATCCTAGCTTTTATTCGGATCCCAGAGCATCCTCCGACACGTTCAGTACCAGGCAGAAAGTGAGTGGGCAAAACTGGCAATCAAAGGCAGCGCGTTCTGATGCTCCGGCCTGTTATCATCTGTCTTACAATGAAGGACGAAAATGGAGGTAGTAGATGAAAAATGAGGAGGTTTCAAGAGTAAACAACTTTAGAAAGGTAGGAGGAGGTAAGGCACAGAACTGTGCTTTTATAAAAGTGATGAAGAAATTGAATTTTGACTGGGGGGAAAAAAAGAAAGCACTATGGGCATACAAAACATGAGGGTAGGATCCACAGTGACTGGTGATACTGGTGTGGGGAGGGCTGCACCTTTATGAACTCAGCCAAAAGGGAAATTACTGACCAGTAAAGGGAAACTAACGGTGAAGAAGGCAAAGCAGGTGAAACAAGTTTGGGATTTTTCCCCTCACCAGCCAGTCACAGCCTATATTACCACGATTAATAGAGATAGATGGCTAGAGCTAAGCTGCTGATGTGGTTCCAGTTGTTAGCGTCACTTGTTTTTATTTGCTTCTGCTATGAAGCGAAGTGAGTATGGGTCCTGCAAAGATCAAGGGAAGATATGAAAGCCTGTCATTTATGATGTCTTGTATTTCAACATGTTCATATTGCTGGGCAATCAATGCAGGAGAAATTATGTATGAGAACTATGTTAAAAATAGTCATGCAGTACTTTATGGGACATCATTTGTCACTGGCCATATCAAACCTATTTTGAAGATTTGCGATAAATTTTACAAAAGGCCTGCACTTCTACATCTCTTTTGTGTTTTAAAATATAGAAGCAGTATGAAAACTTGGGTAGGTACAAAGTAAAACCACATTCAGTCTGCATCTTTACACATAGAAAATGAGCTTTTCTTTAAGGCAATCTTCAGTATGCCCAAATCAAAGTAAGGTACTATATTTTGGGGTTTTATGTCCTTGCTCCAGCTTGCTACAGAACAGAGGCTTGTAAACACAAAGTAATGAGACTGTCTCATTCAGACCAAATGTGTAGCGAACAGTGAAAACAAGTCAGCAGCTGGCAGAGTCTATACATATGACGCTGTGTTCACCATTTAGGTGATATACAACCTTATGTAATGTATTTGGCATTTGTATCCCCTTTCCCAAGTCTGACAACCAGGCTGTGGGCTTCCTAGAAACACTGGACTGGTTACCACATTAAATGGCTCATGAAGTCGGGGGAAACAAACAAACAGAAAAATCTCAGCTGTGTTGCCATACGAATAGCAGTGGCAGCTGTCAGTAATGTGACAAACAGCAGTATCCATATCGCATGATTCAGGAAGAGGGAGCCGAGGGTTACTAATAAAAAATAAAAGTTCTTTCATTTTGTTGGGTCTACACTAAAAAAAAACTCCGTGTCAGTAGTTTTTATAGAAATTACGGTCTGCTAAGGGCTAAATAACGTCTGTGTGTCTGTCCAGCTCCTTCACCACGCAATTCCCAAAGGGGGCACTGAAGTCAATGAACAATCCTCGCCCTACTTGGGGCACCCTTGTTAATGGAGCCATCGGATAACAGGACACCCAAAGTAAGGACTGAGTACTTGCCGTGCATTCGCCTAGGCATCA